CAAACACCGGGAGGGGCGGCTTGTTTTACAACGTCGTTGCCAAGCGACGAAAACCCAACCCCGATGGTAAACACCGGGGGGGGGCAGAGGGCGGAATTGTATCCAAACGCCAAGGATTTACCAACTATGAGGCGCTTTCGTGCGTACGGCCAACGCAACAAAAAATAACGGGACTACACAGTAGACATCTCCTTCTTGCCTTCATCGCAGATCTGTATGCGATGGCCTGTATTTGATGACCGCATGATGATGCTCTCCAAAAGCTTCGCCGCTGAGTTTATCTTAGGCTGCAAAACCGGCATCAAGGGGAGTGGTAGCAAAAGCGGGAATATTGCAAAATACCCATTAAATAACGCAATGTCGATGCCCCCGGCACGTGGAACACGGCCCCGCGAGACGAGGCAAAAAGCTTAAGGCGAATCTTCTGAACTCAGTTACGGGCAGGAAAGCTTGGTGGCCGCCCGCCAAATCGAGCTACATCAGTCCAAGGCCATCGAAACCTCCCAGGCGAAAGGATTGACGGGGGAGCCTCTGCACCTAAATCCTGAACTTGTATAAATGGGAACGACGGCTGCGATAACATCGATGATATCGACAATCGGAAAGATGTTCGAAGGACGCAGAGAGAGCTGCTGCGTCTACCCACACGCACATTGGCGTTTTCTCGTTCTGCCACGTGACTGACGACTTGTTATTGGTCAGCCGATTGGTGCACAACAGCAACCACCACACAAGCATCCCCGGGGAAGCCGGGTGTACCAAAGGAGGACACATAAATAATCGAAACAATTACTATTCCTACAAAACTACTACAGCAGGTCCCGCGTGATAAACTAACGGCCAATAAACCAAACGCAACACATGAACCGATGCCTGCGGCACACTTAAGCTTTCAACAGGCAATCTGTAACCATGCACAACCGCACGCACCAAAAGCCTTTTTCCATGGATAGATGCATACTTTCGGCTCCAAGTCGCCATCGAATGCCACAAGTACCCATGGACAGGCGACCATAAAACTTGCACCGCACATGAACATGCAAAGGCCCGGTCAAGGGAGAAACGGGATCAAACGTCATCCATCAACAGGCAACGCTCACAGATTGAAGTCGGGCACCGATCGTTTTCTTCGGACAACAGGGGGATGGATCGGTAAGAATATTTCGCGACGGTGGTAAGCCGCACGCACAGACACCGACAGGGGAAGCAAGACACGGCAGGACCAACACGAGACCACAACAACGCGACGAGACATCCACAACGACAAGCCTCTGTGACGTCACACCTCACTGTACGGAACAACATATTGTGTTCACTCAGGCAATGCATCACGATGCCCCTTTCCGTGACAAAACGTTAACGACGGTCAATAGGGCGTTGACAGCGCCTAACACGAAACCAACAGAACGAGACCCGCGTCTATAACACCCACCCAGCGAGAGGTTGATTCACTTGACAAGACAAAAACTGACGAGCGGTCACAATCTTTCTGGCAATGTGCGAGACGCAGCCAAGAAGAACAGAGACGTTCAGTTAACAATAGGAAGTCTGACAAACGGTCACAATCTACGTTCTGGCAACGCGAGTCGACGCAGCTTCCGAAAGTAGGAAGCATCGGCTCTCCCCCCCCTTCCCGAGGGGACCACCTTCGCGAAAAACAAAGCATATTAGGAAATTCAACAGGGAGGGTGGTACGCAGACCCCATCCCTAACCCAAACTCAACTTTCCCGATTGCATGCTTTGTCCTCCATGTTCACAACTAGAAAATCCCTGCGAGGGCTACTACTGTCCTGAAGTTTCGGTCACCGAAAGGGACGGGCCGTCATCTCCCTTCGAAGTTACGCCGTGGGGGCCTGAGGCAGGATTACGGAGGGCTCGTCGTCGGAATTGGAATCGAACCTTCCGCCTCGTTCTCGTCCGTTGAGTACGTCCAGCAGCTCGCTCGGCTCTGCGGCCAGGCGCTTTCCGAGCCACTCCAGTTCTTCCTGGGGTGGGGGGGGGCACGCAGACAGAATATAATGATGCGGCGGAGTGCGGGGGTTTCGATGGGGCCCGGGAGGATGCCGGGGGGGTCGATCAATTCACCGCCTTGTGCTTTCATTTCTCCCCCTCTTCTTAAGGGTAAAGTCCCGATGCCGAAGGCAAAACGGGATATGAGGACCTGATACAGCAACTGAGAGAAAGAAACCTTGTCGTCGAGACAGGGCCCCCGCCGATTGCACAAACTGCTACACTCCCTTGTGTACATCTATCGGGATCAGAGGTTGTGTTTGTAAGTTTCATTCACTATTTTTTGGATCAGTTTCATTCACGATCAATCGGACCGGTTTCATCCACAATATTTCGGATCCGTTTCATGCACTGTATCTTGGATCAGGTCCATTCACAATATTTCGGATCAGGACCCAAAGAAGGACAACACCTTTGATCTTAGTTCGAACGCCTGTGCATGGTGGTGGTCTCCGGTCTGGACTCAAAAACCGCCGTGACCAAAAAGTACTGCAGATCGTTTGGCCTGCGGCCAAGGTTTCTGAGTGACCTACAATCGTTGGGAAGTGTTTTTTTGCCGCGACCATATACACCAACACAAATCCTCGAATCGCAATCGAATCCGGTGTTGCATGGACCAACTCGCGGTAATTTCGTGTCGGCGGGATGCCTTGCTCTCCCCACTTATACCCGAACAAATTGGGGGGAGGAACGGGAAGCCCACATAATATACTACGCTGTACTCAGTATACTTTATAGCGGGCACGAGGTGCGCACCTTTCCCCATAAAAACCGCTGAGAGTTGAGCAATTCTCCGACGCCCCCGTAGCCGAAGAAGTCGAGGAGGTTCGCCGACCTGTGCAACGATCAACCAATCAGTAAAAAGCACCCGGTATCTAGTTCAATCGTCGTCAATCCCACGAGGGAGGGAAGGGTAATGCTAGCATCTATCTGCTTTACGCTTGTCTACGTTGGAAGCTTCCTCAGAAGCTTGGCCATTGCCGATGCATCGCCGTCGCAAGATGATGGGTGGTGATTTCCCGGCCTTCATGATGGGGTGCACCTTCCTGCACCATACCTCTCGGACGATCATGTCTTCCATGAACAGGTTGCAGAAGATACTACACGCCCTGGGCCGAGTATCAAATTTGGATTGCTCTGCAGCACAAGCAACAGCAGCGGGGGCGGCCGTGCTAAAAATGGCGGCATTGGAACCGTCTGGTGGGGAGGTCTCCGAAAACACATCGTTCGAATTTGACATGACATATTCCTTGTTGTGGAGGAACGGAGCTTCGAAAATCGGTCCAAGGGGCACGGGATCTCGCGCAACCTATGTGGGTCATTTGGTCGACGATCAAGCAACTTCGAGTGAAGAAAGGGGAGTCCCAACTTCACACACACAAAAAAAAAACAGTTATCCAATCTGCCCCCCGAGTGCTCTAGAGGCGGTGCTTGAAAGGGAGGAAAGCAAGTCTCCTCTGATCATCCAAGCGAGGAACCAACATGCGGCGAGGGGCGTCACTTGGAAGCTCTACAACAACAAGTCTGCATGCGATTTGATCAAGCAGGCGAAGCTTTGCTTACAACCCGAAGTTTGAAAGGAGAGGGACAATATGGATCTGTTCATGTAACCTTGCTGCTCAAGAGAGTGGTGAAGGGGCATACGTTGCGGGACGAAGCCACAAATGCCTCTGACGGTTTTCATTGTTGCTGTTGTTGCTTGCGTGCCTGTCGCTTTTACAGCTGGCGTTGCCGTGACACCCGAAAACGTCCATATCTCTACGCAGGGCGTTGAAACGCATATTATAGTACCCCGGATGTGTTCCTCACTGGCAATGCGTGACGCAACCCAACCAAAGAGACGGGCGGCCTATCTCGTCTAAACTCGATCAAACGAGAGACGGCCAAACTTGCCGCAGGCCTCGACGAGAACGATCTCACGTCAGTGCTGTATGTAGTTGGTTGGTTACTCCTATTTCTCACCGCAAAAGTTCCAATGCACAGGCGGGATCCTTCTCGCAGGCCCCAATCCGCTGCCGACACCCTTTCGGGATGGCCGTGTTTTGCACGGCCGGCGAAGCTCTCGACATGGCGTCCCCCATGATCAACCGCCGCCGCCGCCATCTATCAAGCGGCCGTTGTTGCTGCTCTTGTTGTGGCAGCGTCTGGTGTTGTAGTCGTCGTCGTTGTTGTTGTTCGCGTCCCTTTAGTCGCCGCCTTCCACTACCAAGCTGCTGCTGTTGCTGCTCTTGTTGTGGCAGCGTCTGGTGTTGTAGCCGTCGTCGTTGTTGTTGTTGATCGCGTCGCTTCTTGGAGATTGGGATTACGGCGGGTTTGGTGGTGGCGGGAGGGGGGTAGGGGGAGATGGGAGGAAGGCCGACGACTGCCCAGAGCGCTGAAGCGGCGTCTTCTGCTTGAGACAGAAGGTCTTCGAACCTTACAGAGGGAGGGAGGGAGGGAGGGAAGGAGGGAGAGAGAGATTATGATGGGCAGAGGTGGGGAGAGAGAGTACGAGAGACGGAGCCAGGGAGAGAGGGAGAGAGGGAATGCGATAGACAGAGAGAGGTCAGAGAGAGATGACGATATGCAGAGAGAGGACAGACAGAGGGACAGACAGATACGGATAGATACAGAGGAGAAGGAGCGGGACGAAGGCGGGAAGGCGACAGGGAGATAAATCAGCGTAGAGAGAGGTAGAGACAACTTAGAGGGGAACGATGGATACACACTCATCGTGAGTACGTCATGCTTGTGGATATAGCATCTAGCACCTCTCGTATCAAATATTCCCAGAAAATACAGAAAAAAAAAAGAAGCACCAACGGGACACATCAAGAGGAAAACAGCCAACAAAATAAAAAAAATCACATTCTTCTTGCTTCACCTGACTACCCAGATAGTCCCGTTAATTGTCCGAGGGACCTGTTCGATAAGCACCTGCCGCCACACCTCGCGCCACTCACGCAGCCCCGCCGCGGCGTCACATCCAACCCCGCCGTCGCATTTGCCTGTCAGATCCAGCACCATCCGCCGGAGTTATTGACAACAATGAGGAAGATTGTTAGAAAAGAGTCTACAAAGAGACTGCCCGTTGGAGATACAACCACAGCAAGTGTGCGGTGAACGTATTTCTCCAGCTTTTCTTCTTGATTTTTTCGAAGCCTCATCGTCCGAAAGCAGCACTTTGCCGGCTCCGCAACAGCGGTAAAGCAAAACTCAAAACCCCGTCCAGTAGCCCAAAACAATCGAGGGCAGGGTGGCGCATACCATGTGGCCTAGTACAAAGAGGTACTGTTGTAGTATGATATCACAAGAGACCATGAACCATGTGAGAATGGCAACTGGGATGGATGCTACGCCGGCTTTTACCATCAGCGGCGCCAGTTCCCAAGACGGTGGTACAGATGGGGTGCCTGACCGTGAGCAATGAAGTGGAAACAAAGGGGAAGAGGCCCTGCTTGGAGGCAACGAGCATGTCCGTGTCTCTCTCCACGAGCACCACTGCCGGCTTCATGGGCTGACGGGGACAGGGGCAGAGCGGGGGGCAAAAGGAGACGGCAGCAGATGTTATTGGTGCTGTTGCTGCTGCTGCTTCTGTTGGAGGGACACAAAAGGCTGCAAAAGGCAGCAGATGTTGTTGTTACTGTCGTTGCCTGCATCAGGAAAACCGTGGCGCCCAGAACAAACGTGACGGAACACACGCAGACAATCCGGGGTCACACCGAACTCCAGGGGTCTCCTGTACAACACGTACGATGCGCACCCTCAAAGCTGCCCAGAGCTCAATGAAGTTTGTTCATTCGACCAAGAGGGAAAAACAACAGAACAGTGTCCGTTGGTGCATGCAAAACCTGCTACTAGTTCTAAAAAAACAACGCTGAAAGAGCGGCCGATTTGCCAACAAACCTGTCAATGGTCGTTTGAACCCCACGACCACTCTTGACAAAAAAAGCACTTCTATAGAACTTCAAGCTGTCCTTTAAACACCACGGACATAAATGAAAAAAAAAGTTGTTGCACGCACCTTCAAGTTGACGCGGAGCAACCAGTCTTGCACGAGCTTCCGCCTAGCCCCGTTGATCTCCTCTGGTGCGAGGAGGCGCCGCTGAAGGTCGGGGCAGTAACGCAAGCACCCCGCGGCGGATGAACCTTCCTTCGAACATCCGCACAGCTGCAAGCGCACCAATCGATACAGGAGCAAGCAAGAGCGACAACAGTGACTACGCCAACCGTACACCCACAGTGTGGAAAAAATACATTTCGGGCACCATGGTGTGGGCGCGCTCATTGACTCACACAACAAGAACAACAGCGGCGATGACGATGAGAATACACTCCCTTTGGAAAACGTGTTCTTAGACAGAAAAGCCTGGGCGCAATCACAGGCACACCCCACGGGGGCACGTACCCATCCCCGCCGTCAGTTTGTGGCATTTCGCCGACATGTTACGACTGATCCTTATCCAAAGAAGACTTGAGCACACCCCTTTCGACTATTGTGTCATCGTGTTAGTACTGTCTCGAACGGGTACAGCAGTAGTTGTAATTGTTTCTGTGAGATTATGTAAACTTTCTAAAAAAGAAGGCACCACTGGCAAGGTTCACAACCATTTACCTCCTGCCTGGACCCACCCCGCCGCCAGTGCGCGACCCTTCAAGCTGGCATGTTACGACTTCAGCACACCCCTTTCGACTGTGGTATTATTATATTATTATTACTACTATTATTTATTATTGTTATTGTATCAAATATTTTAATTGTTTTTTTGTAAATATTGTTAATATTGTTGATATTTGTACTGAAGTTTATAATATTATCGCGAACGGGTAGTTCTGTGCGATGTATACTTCTAAAAAACAAGGCACTGCCGGTAAAGATCACAACCGTTTACCTCCGACAAACCCGTCTCCGTCATGCCCTCCCGCTCCCGCGGTGATGAAAACACCGATGTTAACGAAGAGCCCTCGCCGTCGACGGCGCCCTGTCCACCATGTACCCGTACCCAAGGGTGCGAGGCGAGTGACCGCATCACCGCCGCCTCTCCGGTGTTCTCGAAGGAGTGCACGAACACGTATCTGTTGGGCGAGAGTCCGGTGGTCAACAACAAGACATGCCGTTATTTATTGGAGGGTTTGCGGTGTGAGGCGTGGGTGGCATGGGATTTTCGTGAATGGAGAGAGGTAGAGAAAGAGGTAGAGAGAGAGGTAGAAAGAGATAGAGATGCGAGAGAGAGACGGAGAGCGATAGAGAGATACAGGCAGATAGAGAAAGGGGCAGCAGAGGGAGAGGGAGAGAGGGGGATGCTACGTAACGTGATGAGAGGTCCACACCACACATGTTCAACACGATGGCAAACGGCAGACAACAGACAACACGATGACAACCGCCGGAAACGTTCAAACAAAAATCAACGTTTCAAGCGTGCCACAAAAACGTCCCTCCATGAGACGGCCAAAACCAAAGGAGTACTGTACAGCTAGCACCCTCACTCGATAACATATAGTTGTTGCGGAGGCTGGTGGTCTTTACGGTACGGTATTTCCTCCTGTGGGCTGCAAATCGGCCGCGCTAAGTATATACGCTCTACTGTACCAGTGAAGCGTTCCTAATGGGGCTCACAAACGGTACTCAAGTTCCGTACAACGCCGAAGTTCTTTCAAGTGTGGGCGCTAGCTATCTGTATCACATTGGCGACTCATGCGGTGTGACAGGGCCGGCGATGTTCGCGTGAGAGTTCTTAGCTGCCAAGATTCCTCCAAGTGTGGGCGCTAGCTATCTGTATCGTATATGCACGACTCATGCGGGGTCAGCAGGGCTGACAATGTGGAGCGGAAAGTTCTTCCCTGCCAAGTTTTCCAGGGCGGGAGCTATCTGTAAGACTACTGTGCGACGCTCACCGAGTAGAGCACAAGTGTTGCAGCCACTCCGGCGACGAGTCCGGGCTTTCCCACGCGGTGTCCGCGGCGGCAGCGGGAGACGCACGTACCGCCGACATGCACGCCTCCATACGCCGTGACTCCTCCTCCCCGTAAGGGTCAATGGCACGAGCGCCTGGGCGAAATAAAAGGGTCCGCGACCCGCCCCCCATAACAGAGACAGATAATGACCTATAGAAGCAATTTTCGTGTTAAGCACACCGAGACCAATATGGTTCCCTCGGGTACCGCGGTCGATGCCAACAGCGAAAACACATTCGCACCATCCGAAGCGGTTGCCGTTCTGTCTACAAGTCGCAGCTTGCGTACAAGCCGCTCAAACGGAAAATATTCTGAAAGGGGTAAACGTTCCTCGTTTATTCGTTTTCAAAAGAGTGCTTTCCTGCCTTCCGTCTCCTCACCGTGGGTTGTGTTCACCTTGTGGGACGAGGTTTCGCGAGCATGGGTCATCTCGGCAAGCTGCACACTTTCCTCAACACGCGACAGCCCCAACAGCTGTGCGGTCGGTCGGTCGTGTTCTCCCTATAACCACCACCATGATTCTGCCCATGGTCGGCTCTCCTACGCAACACAGCAGTCGGCCGGCTCCGTTCTCGTCATCCTCACCATGGCTAATCGGGTGGTGCGGGCTGAGGCTGGCCTGTGGGCGACCGGTGACGACGTGCTTGCCGTTGGCGGCTCTGTCCAGAAGCCGCCGTACCACGCAGCTCCACTCCACCATCGCCTCGCTCTTGTGGTCGTTCAGCGCTGCGGTTTCCAATGATTCGTTGAACTCAACAACTCCTCTTGTTGTCATCGCTTGTCGTGGTTGTTTCTGTTGCCACTGAAGCTACGGAATAAGGGGAGGCGGCGGCGTGAATGGTGTGGTGGAAATGAGAGCGAGGAGGTCGAAGCCGCTTCTTGGAGGTGATCGATCCCAAGTCCTGGCTTGCATACCACTACTGCTGTGTTGAACTAGTGCTGTGCTAAAACACCCTTGTATCCGAAGTGCATCAGGGACTCCGACATCGATGACCCTGTTTCGCCTGTCTGGCCTGTTTGTCTCTCGGTCTCTTTCTGTCTGTCTGTCTGTCTGGTACGTTTCTCTCTTCATCTCTCTGCCTCGTTCCTTCTCTCTGTCTGTCTTATCCACCTCTGTCTTGTCTGCCTCTCCGTCGCCACCAGTACATCTCTTCCCCCCTTTCCTTTCTCCTCACCACAGTGCTGTAGCGCCTCCCCTTCGCCGCCACATCTTCCCGCGTCATCGGATACCGCCGGACTGCAAAATCCCCGACCGCCGCCTCCTCACACCGGCATGCTTCTCTCATGTCCGTCACCCCCCCCCCCCCCCCCCCCCCCCCCCCCCCCCCCCCCCCCCCCCCCCCC